TGGCTCTTAGGACCAAGCTCCTAAAATGTCATTTCCAGTGAATGATAACATTAAGAGGAGAGACAGGCGGGCCTTCCTGTGGACATGTTAGTCTTTTGTGCCAAGGCTTGTAGCTCAGGCCAGGCTGGCACTTATTAGCTTCCTGCTTTCTCCAAAGTGCAGGAGTACAGGTGAGGGACTTGTCCTAGGCCATTGAATTTTAACCCTCTTAAAGCTTTGTTGTATCTTTTTAACATCTCCCAGTGCAGTCTCCCTAGTGAAGTCATGTCAGTTTTAAACTGAACTGCATTTCCCTTACTACTTATTTTAGTCTAACAGAAGACTTTCTCTCAGTTTATATTTAAATATGTTTTGCATTTCAGGAAGATGTGAAATTGCTTTCCCATCTGCTCCAGGCTTTAGACTATGGGGCACCCCCTCATGGAGGAATTGCCTTAGGTAAACTGTCTTTTTATACACTGAATTCCATTTCATTCTGTAACATTGTCTTAAATTTAGACTCTCAGTTTAAGGGGAAGGAATTGGGAGTGGCTGAGTCCAAGAGTTCCATGTGAGTCTCTTTCTTTTTATTTCAGTAACTTATGAGAAGTGAGATTGAGCCCAGAGCCTTATGTACCTATGAACATACTACATTTTTATTTTATTGTTAAGTGTGGTGGTGGTGCACACACACACACACAGAGAGAGAGAGAGAGAGAGAGAGAGAGAGAGAGCACAGTTGGGAGAGTTGGGAGGCAGAGGCAGGCATATTTCAAAGAACTCAAGGCCAGCTTGGCCAACATAGCAAGTTCCAGGTCAGCCAGCCAAGACTACAGTGTGACCCACACACATACCCTAAAAAAAAAAAAAAAAAAACAAAAAACACACACACAACAACAAAAAAGTGCCTACTACTCTTGCAGAGGACCTCATTTTGGTTCTTTGTTTTTGTTTTTTAATTGGAGAAAAAAAAAATTAGGGTCTTGTCAACTTTTCGTTGACCTATCCAGATCTGTCAGTAAGACCTAAGATTTGAGGATCTTACAGAATAAACAACAGTCTAATGTTGTAGACTTTATTTCAGTTTCAGTGTACTTTTAAACAGGAGTGAAACAAAACAATGATCCAAGAAAGGTTGTTCGGGTTCCAAAAAACATATAAGTAAGCACCAGTAAAGCACATAATAAATATTGACAGAGCAGTCCTTTCCCAGAACTTTCTCAGGGCAGCCCAATTTAAACACAATTGCCTGGCATGTACTATAGATTCTATCTGGGAAAGCACGAAAGCAAGGCAGAAGGCCTTGTCCAGATTCAGGGTACACTGAGGACAGCACTCAGCATGTCCTCTCACCATGGGTTCTTGATACCCTCACAAATATGCATGCAGGCAAAACACCAATGCATATAAACTACAAATAAATCATTTTTAAAAAGGAAAAAATTCATAACAATATATTTTGATCACCACTTTCTGTCCCCCAACTCCTCCAAGATCAGTTCCACCTTTCCACCCAAATTTCTTTCTTTCTTTGGTCTGTCAAAACATGGTGTAGTCCTGAAAATCACTATGCAGACCAGACTAGTCTTGAACTTAGAGATCCACCTGCCTCTGCCTCCCAACTGCACCACCATAGCCTGGCCTCTTCCTTTCCTTTTTTTTCTCTTTTTAGAAAGAGAACAGGCAAACAGAAATATCAGTAAATACACACACACAAAACCACAAAGTCAGAAATCATAATATATAGACAAAAGACCAGTAAGATAAAGAATGCCTGAACAAAGCAGACTTTTGTAGACAAAAGTCTACAAAAATGCCATTGGGTTCCTTTTGTTTGTCATCCATCTACTGCTGGGCACGGGGCCTGCCATTTAGTGTGATTAAATGGGATTCAGTTGGAGACAAGTAATTTTTCCTTTGCAAGTAGATTGGAGATAGTCTCTTGGTTAGGGTGGGAGTTCATGTCCACTTCCCTCTCTTACCATTGGAACCCCTGTCTTGCTTGAGTCTGTCTGAGCCTGTGCATGCTGCCTCAGTCTGTTTTCTTATGTGCATGAGATATGGCCTGAATTTGAATTCTAGCATCTACAACAGGCAGCTCACAATTCCTTATAATTCCAGTGCTAGGGAGCGGGGGTGGGGGGGGGTGGGGGGGTGGGGGGGGTGGCGCGGGGGCTGGGCTGACACCTCTGGCCTCTCTGGGTACCTGCATTCATGTGTATAGACAACACAATAAAAATAACAGCAATAACAGAAATAAGAGCTCTAGGCCAGCCTGAGGCCAACCTGGCCTACAAAGTGAGTTCCAGGACTGCCAAGATAGAGAAACTGTCTCTCACTCTCCCACAGACACAAAAAGAATGAAATCTTGTCTCAAAAACAAAAAAATGTCAGTTCTCTATAGGCCTGAGGTTTTCTACAGCCCAGTGGTAGAGTACTTGTCTAAATGCATGAAACCAGGTCAAAAAAAAAAAAAAAAAATTCTTTCAAAGAAAGAACACTGGGCTGAGCGTTGTGGCACACGCCTTTAATTCCAGCATTCAGGTGGCAGAGACAGGCTGATCTGAGTTTGAGGACAGCCTGGTCTACAGAGCAAGTTCCAGGACAGGTTCCAAAGCTACAGAGAAACCCTGTCTCAGGGGTGGGATGAACAAAAAAAAAAAGAGTTTTAATTATATAACCACGAAGTCTTATATTCAAGTTCCAAGACAGCCAGGGCTGCATAGCGACAATTTAAGTTATTCGCAAAGTTCTATGCCATTTCTCATTTGTAACTTTGTATTTTACATCATCACAGGGTTGGACAGATTGCTGTGTCTTATCACTGGAGCCCCAAGCATCAGAGATGTGATAGCCTTCCCCAAATCCTATCGAGGACATGACCTCATGAGCAATGCCCCAGATTCTGTGCCTCTTGAAGAGCTGAAGCCCTACCACATCCAGGTCTCATGGCCAACAGACTCTGGAGAGGAGACTTCATCGGCCACACCTTCCAAAAACTTGAGCTCTTAAGTTTTGTCAGCTTTGCTCTGCCAAACCTAAGATCCAGAGCTGCCAGACTCTATTATAGAGTCAGGTCTCCATATGGAAGCGCTCATCACCATAGTAAGAAAAAGAAGCTACCCAACTGTGATTTGGCAACTTGTACCACTAGAACTTTCTGTGGATGGGATCTGTGTGCAAGTTTTTAATTGAAGCATTGTAAAATAAAACAAAAAATCAAATGTCTTTATTGGACTGAGTCTTTGTGTTTTCCAAGCATGGTTTTCATAATCCAGATAGGTTATTTAGGACAGAGGATATCAAGTCATAAAGGAGAATGTTTGCCTCTGTAGACCAGCCAGTTGCCAGGGAGAGGGTTTAAATTCATCTAGTCTCACCAGGAAACCACATAAATTGAGCTTTGTGGTGACCTTTCAGCTATCAATACTAATAAGTATCATGGTAGAATTTTTAAAGACACAAAATTCTATTCAGAATCGCAACTTCAGCAAGTTACTGGCTTCTCTTAATTAGCCTTTCATGCTGCTTATATGTGAATGACAGTGACAGCTGTCTTACAGGACCCTTGTAGCCAGAATCAGACAAAGTTGTCTTAGTCACTGTTGTATTGCTGAGAAGACATTATGACCAAAGCAATTCTATAATAAAGCATTTAATTGGGAGCCCTTAAAGAGGTTAGCCCATTATCAGCATAGCAGTATACCCCCAGAAACAGTGCTGGGGAAGTAGCTAAGAGGTCTACACCCTGGGCTGGAAAGATGGCTTAGTGGCTAAAAACACTAGGTGGACTTCCAAGGGTTGAATTTAATTCCCATATGATGGCTCACGACCATCTGTAAGATCAGGTGCCCTCTTCTGGTATGCAGCATACATGCAGACAGAACACTACACATAATAGTTCTACATCCTGGTCTGCAAGCAGGAGACACATAGGACCTGGCAAAGCCCATCTCCCCCACCCCCGGTTACATACTTCCAACAGTGCTACGCCTCCTTATCTTTCCAAAAAAGGCTACTATTCTTAACCATAGAGCTCAGTGGTAGGAGCCCTTGTATATACAATGCACACTAATCTGCATTTCAATCACCAGCATCACTCAACAAAACTAAAGGTTCACTGTTGCAGTGCTCAGGTGGGACAAAAGGAGGCAGCTGAATACCACCTATTTGGCAACTAATCTTTTGGTTCCTAAAGTATAGTGACCTACTGGCATGCAACATGTGCCTATAAGGTTAGATCTTGTGTTCTGTAAGAAATTAAGGAACTGGGGCTGGAAAGATAGCTACCAGGTACTGAGTTCAATTCCTAGCAACCATATATTGGCTCACACAACCATCTGAAAAAAAAAATCTTAAAACTACTTTAAAAATGTGCCACCAAAACACTCCCAGCTGAAACTTGTAGCACACACTTTTGGTCCCAGCACTTGTTGGCAGAGGCAGGCAGATGAGTTTGAGACAAACCTGAATTACAGGTATTCAAGCCAAGCAAGAGTTTCTAAAAAGACCACAGGAAAACCAAACAGCTCACTGTTCAAGAGTACTTGCCCCAAAGCTTCAGGCTACACAAATTTGTATTCTCCAAGACTTTAAAACATTGTTTACCAGTTTGTGTGTAGAACCCCCAACAATAACATTGTGTCCATAATGTTAACACTTTATAGATTACAAAACTATTTTCAGCAGTCACTCCAACCCAACTGGTACCACTTGTCTAAAACTTTTAAGATTTTTCAGCCTAGATATATTTTACCTTCCAGTGCAACTTTATAAACCTCAATACCATGCCTTACCTATCACTTGAACCCAATTTAGGTATTTAAAACAGAGCAGACCTTAGCACACACATGACAACCGGAGAAGACATCTTTGTACTTAAAAGCTCACCCTGAGCTATTAAAGGCTTATTAACAATGAGGTGTAGTCACTGCCAGCTAAGACCTTCTGGCTTTAAACCCATGCATGAGCAGTCAGTCTTCTGTGGTAAATAATTACAAAAGGCACACTATTTAATTCCATTCTATTTATTTTGGTAATTCTTCTTATGAAGAGGTTACACCTGAAGTCATCTCCCTGAGCCTCCTTCCAGCCACCTGCAACAGAGGACATTGGTTAGGCACATTTCTACTCTTTAATTTAAATTTTAACTGCTAGTACAGAATATCAGATCTTTTGCTGTCATCAAATAATCAGTGAGAGAGTTCAAGTTGTGGTGAGATCATCATATATTCTGGAATAGCTTCATAGTCAATTTTCCTGTTCCTGTCCACCCTCACCTGTTCCAATCCTCACCTTTTAAATAGGCCAAAGAAACAGGAAATTGCCTGTCCATTTTCTGCCACAGGAGCTCTAAAAAGAAGAAAACAAAAGTTTTCACCTTGCTTAGACTTAATTGTAGGTTACATGTTACTATAGTAACCTCAGAAATAAAATGGAACGGTTTTAAAGGTGATATCACTATGTATCATTTGGCAGAATCATCACATCACTGGTTACATGCCAAATATAATCTCTCCAAAAAGTGACTTGACTTACCTTGAAATTCAGAATGAAGGACCTGTTTGAGTTAAGAAAAAAATTATTAGACCAGAAATTTCCTAACCACTCAGTGCATTTTACACTACACTCTGAACAGTAGTCTAGATGAGGTTCAAACAATTATCTTGCCAACAAGCGGCTTGAAATCTTTTTGCAACCTCCATACCTAGGAACTACTCTTGGCAATAAAGTCAGGGATTAAGGTCAAAGGCTATAAAAGCAAAGGCTTCATCATGTGCTTTACAATCATAAAAACCTAGCTAATACCTTATACTAGCACATACTAGAAGACAATTCTTTAAAACATTGCAGCCAGATACGTCAGATAGGAGCGAAAGACTTTCGGATTGTTCATCAGGATAAGTCTGCTGAACTATGTTATCATCACAGTATCGGCATTTATTGGGGAAATGTCTATTTGAACACTTCACATGCATAATGTCAGCCAAGACACTTACCTTTGTAAAAGCTTGTCTGGGCCTTCATTTAACAGGAGCCATGCTGACACCTACAGAAATTCAGTTCCATTTACAAACAGACATTTATGAAGCAGACTTATACAAATTTGTAACTACTGTTTCAGCTTTAAGAATTAATCTTCAATCTTATTCAGAGAGATTCCCATCTGTTTAACTTTATACATCATCATTAACAGTAAATAGCAAGTAATCATAATCAGATGACTACAAATACTTCCTTACCATCAATTGGGAGCACTGACTGCTCTTACAATGGTCCAGGTCTCAGTAACCATGCAGTGGGGCTCCATCATGGTATCTGATGTCCCCTTCCGGTATGTAAGCAGAGTAATCAAACCTAAAAAAAATATAGTTCTTAAAAGGCCAAATTGGACCTGGAAAAAATTTAGTACTAAGAATTAAGTGTTGCATAGTATTGCAAATCCCTATTTACTAGCACAGACCAAGTACCCAATAACTGACTTCTTACCAAAAGCAAGCAATCCAAATGAAAACATGCAAGCAGTAGCTAGAATTAAAAGAAAACACCTCTTACAAATATGGTAAGCACCACTAATTACTCTTAGCTGCCTGTCACAGGGTTCTTCAGTGTTTAGAATCGCCTGTCTACAAGTTATTTTCAGGTCAGACATTTGGATCAGCATCATTACAAAAACCCTGATTAGAGCATGGTCCAAGGAAACAAATCTAATATTCATTATACAATACATGCCAGATGTCTTACATCTACAAACATGGCATGCCTCTTTAAACTGGCCTATTAACCAATTTTTTTTCCAATACTTACTTTTCAATGAAGAGCTGTCCAGACAATTTGAACACCTAAAACAATTCAAAATTTCAGTGCAGTCAAAAGACAATTTGTCCCACCAAAACCTAAGCAAGCCTGTATCAGATAGAGCTAATTAAGACCTTCATGTTAAGTCAGCATTTGCTTGTCATCATGCAGGCAGAATTCACCCAAACACAGACTTACTACACAAAAGCAAATATCAAGCCATGTTTGCCCGTGTCTCCAATTTCTTTATCTCTACTCACATTTCATTTTTAGGTTTCCAGTAATATCACCTACAATTTCAAACAGGTAAAACTAAGTCAGTTCTCTCATGATCACCAGAAAACTGACACAAAATGCTGAGCCCTGCATAACCATGCTACAATTCTAGACAAGGCCTAGAACAGGATCTGTAAACTATGCTGACCTGAACTCAGATAAACCTGACTCGAAAGTGTTGAGACTAGTGACAAGGCCACTGTTTTAATGGCACTTCCCTACAACCCGGGAGGAAAGAACCACTACCAATCTTACACGAGGTTGAGACCAATAGCATACCACATCAAGCAGAGTACTGGATAAGACCAACCGAGATAACCTCACAATTCCAAGACCCTCTCCAGTTTGAGCCCTTGGCCTTAGATCTCCCACCTGTTCTACCCTCTCCAAACTGCATGCAAGTTTGTATCAGATTATGTTGGGGAGGACCAAATGTGTGCTCATTCCTTTGGGTAACTGGCTGGATTATCATTCCTTCCAATGTGATATACCAAAATGCTTCTTACCCATGGTTAATCCAGGTTCTTCCATCGGCCCTGAAAAATTAAACAGCTTAATGTAAATTTCGCCTATTCTGTAAGAAATCCCCAAAGTCATCCTGTATGCCTCAGTTACAATTATGGTGGTTTATGGTTATCGTCATCCCACTGTCAAGAGTAGCAAATAAAATGTCATCATTGTGGCACTGTTCTTTCCAAGTTTCCTCTTCCCGCACATTTCACTTACCTCAGTCTTCATCCGTCTTTGCACCAGAACTAGAAGAAAAAAAATATGGTAACAATGAGACTACACCTCCTTCATAGGTTTCCCCCTCCCTAGTAGAATTAAAGCCTCAGAACAGTGTTTTTCAGAAATCCCTTCTGTCCACTACTCTCATACCATCATGGGCTTTTTGACTTTGTAGAATTTTTTTCGTCTTCAATCAATTCTTACCTGTGTCCATAATGCCAAGAGCACCAGTGAAATCCACATCACCATTCCTAAAAAAGAAAGTCAATTCAATGTCTTTTAACGACCGGTTTTAATCGCACACGCGGGCGCGCGCGCACGCGCACACACACACACACACACACGGAAAACCTAAAAGACTACGGTATCACAAGAGGTACTAAATTTAATGAACTACAGGCCTTTCCCCATGATTCAGCTGGAAGCTTTGTGTAGTTACTAAGGCAGACTGAGGCAGTATTAGCAAATTCCTCCAACCTCGTCGTCTCTTAAAATCTGCCCGTAGTGCTGTGCGTTCCTAAACCACGCCAAAGGAAATGCAGCCACTACAAAAGGCCTCTCGCGGTGACTCAGCACGCTCCGCCATCAGAGTCGTTGGTATTCATCAACAAAGTCAGTTGTCCCTACCAACATAGCCTTCATCATTGCGAGAACATTGGTGCCGAGTTTCCTATGGAGATGTGAATTTAAACAAGCGCAATCCCATTTAGGTCGCGCGCGCACGCAAATTACTCCAAGCTCCCATATCTCCAGCCTTTGGGCCTTAGAAGCTAATTACTGAAATCCCGCCAATTTGAGGTAGCATCACCTGCAAAAATGCTGGACTGCGAGGCCTAAAATAAGAGACGCAAAGAACACTTACTTACCTGTACCAAGTCGCCCCCCAGCTCCGAAAGACCGATATGGCGGTTGAGTGCAGTATATAAAGTCTCCGTGACGTCACGACGCAGGGCCCTCCGCTGCGTCTACTTAAGTCCCACCCAAGCCCTCAGACTCCTCCTCAAACCCCACCTCGTTCCCGCCCACAAGTCCTCCCGCTGGCCCCGCCCCACAACGCCTGTGGGGCGGAGTCGCCGCGAGCACGTCAAGCCCAGCCTCTGCGTCCCTGAGGAGTCAGGGCTGAGGGGAGGGGGCTCCCGCCAGGAAAGCGCTGGGGGAGGGGTGGTATGAGGGTGACTGATTTCCTTCCGGCACGTCGCCCGCTCCGGAGGAGGGGGCGGGGGGATTCACTTCCGGGACGGTGTTCCGGCCCATTCCGGCCCATTTCCACCCCCGGAGGTAGGTGCTGCTCCTCGCCTGGCCTCGGGCCCCGCACCCCCGCCCCATTAGCCTATACCGGACGCTCCTTGGCCGCGTCTCGGCTGCAGCCAGCTCCTGGGGCGTGCAGCCGCTCCGCCCCACCTCCCCTCCCAGCTCTCGGCGACCTTCCCCGCCTCTTTGGCTCGGGGCTGCAGAGCTTGCGGGCCCGCCCCCTTGCGAGCCCCTCCCTCAGGACCCCGCGGCGGGGACACACCCAGACACACCCCCACCGCGGCCGCCTCCGCCGCCCGCACCGGTCCCGGGGCGCCGCCCCCTTCCCCCTCCCGCGCCTCACCTGTGCGCCTGCTGCTCCTTGGCGGCGCATCCTGCTCTCTTTTCCCGGGTGCTGAGCCATCTCCCTTCCCTCTTAGCCAGGTCCCCTTTCCCCCTGCTCCCTGCCATACACGAAAGCTGCTCCTGTACCTGACTGGCCAACCCCAAGCCTTCCCGATTCTCCCTTTTACAGCTCTCGCCCCTCCAGTGCCGACGCTAGAGACTTTACTCCAGGGGCTTCCTCCTCACTGGGGAGTTGCTGGGAAGAGCAAAAAAAGGCGCTGTTGTAGGCTCCAAAATAAACACCTGAATTCGTGATGGCATCGACAGAGGCTCTTAATGGATTAAAAGTTTCAAAACAAACAATAACGCTTTGGAAAAAGGTCAGATTGGTTGAAGTTGCTACTTGAAAGCAGTGTTTGCACTTCCCTGTTTACTCAATAAGTGTTGTAAATGCGGGGTGATAATCTGAGTTTCTCAGGACTTTCCTGATGTGTTGTGTAGTCTCATAAGTTTAGAGATAAATTGGACGCACGGTGAGCCACAGTCGTTGAGATACGTCCCTCCACTAATTGAAACTGTTTGATGCAGTTGCAGTCTTTGTAGTGTAAAATTTTAAGCTTTATTCTTGTCAGCAGTGGGGAACCAACTTCCTTGAATTAAAATAGCATTGCCACTTTGGAATTCCCAACCTCGAGTTTGTTGAGTAGAGAAGAAATACTAACTTAGTAGTTTTGTTGGATAGAGGAAGATTTACTCCATTTTTGCCTAACCTGGCATGGTGGTGATGGCACACACCTGTTAACACCAGCATTCTTTAACCTCAGCAGAGGCAGTCAGATCTCAAGTTAAGAGACCAGCCTGATCTACTTAAGTGAGTTTCCAGGAATAGCCAGGGCTACATAGACAGGTCTCAAACAAACAAATGCAGGGTGTGTTGGCTTAATCCAAGCAAGTAGATCTCTGAGTTCCAGTCTAGCCTGCTCTACAGAGCAAGTTCCAGGACAGCGAGGACTAACTACACAGAGAAACCCTGTCTCAAAAAAAGTGATAATACAGACCATTCACATAGGATAAAATAGTCACTTTATAGTCATAAACAGCCTGTGCTACATGTAAATTATAATCAACCTGTGTATAATTACATTTATTCTAAAATTTATTTTCTCTAGAAAAAGATAATGGATTTTGTATTCAGTCTGAAATCCTTGTGTTTGATACACCCTGATGAACTATCTTGATGGACTAGCTTATTAATAAGGTATGGTTGTAGCTTGAATTTTTAGCAGTCTAGCTATCACTTTTTTGTTGTTTTAATTGCCTTTTACTGGGAGATCTAAAACACCTCATGCCAGGCTTAGCTACTCACAGTGATACTAGTACTCAGGAGGTAGGAGCAGGAGCATCAGCACAAGTTTGAGGGCTGCCTTAGAGTGAAACCGTGTTGCTAACAAAACAGAACACCTGCTGGCAATTCTATTTCTACATCCAAGCATCATAAGGAAGGTCCCCTCTTTATACATGGAGATTTCGATTTTTTTTTTCCTGAGACAAGTTTTCACTTATGTAGCTAGATTCTCCTGCCTTAGTGCCAAGTGTTAAAATTATATATGTACCTGGCACTTCTGGCCAGGAGATTTTACATTTTTAGGGATGCTTGAACTAGAAAGCACAAAAGGAGTAAAACTGGTGCTAAGAATATGGTCTGCTCTTTCAGCAGGGTTGAATGTCTGCCTGTACTTTCAGGCATGACCATGGAGAAAAGTGGGAACATACAATTGGAGATCCCTGACTTCAGCAACTCTGTTCTAAGCCACCTCAACCAGCTACGGATGCAAGGCCGTCTCTGTGATATTGTGGTCAATGTGCAAGGACAAGCTTTTCGGGCTCACAAAGTAGTACTGGCTGCCAGCTCTCCTTATTTCCGGGATCACATGTCCTTGAATGAAATGAGTACTGTGTCCATTTCTGTCATCAAGAACCCTACTGTTTTTGAAGAGCTCCTTTCTTTCTGTTACACAGGGCGGATATGCCTGCAACTAGCAGATATTATCAGCTACCTAACAGCCGCTAGTTTTCTGCAGATGCAGCATATTATCGACAAATGTACACAGATCCTAGAGGGCATTCATTTCAAAATTAATGTGGCTGAAGTTGAAGCAGAATTAAGTCAAACGAGGACAAAGCACCCAGAGAGACCTCCAGAGTCTCACAGGGTTACACCAACTCTAAACCGCTCACTTAGCCCAAGACATAATGCTACAAAGGGAAACTGGAGGGGACAGGTCAGTGCTGTGCTGGATATCAGAGAGTTCAGTCCCCCTGAGGAATCTACCAGTCCTCAGATAATCGAACAGAGTTCTGATGTAGAGAGCCGGGAGTCCATTCTTCGAATCAACAGAGCAGGACAGTGGTATGTGGAAACAGGAATAGCAGACCAGGGGGCACGGAGTGGAGATGAAGTTAGGGTCCTTGGAGCAGTGCACATCAAAACTGAAAATCTGGAAGAGTGGCTTGGGCCAGAGAATCAGCCTTCGGGAGAAGATGGGAGTAGTGCAGAGGAAGTCACAGCCATGGTGATTGACACCACAGGCCATGGTTCTATAGGACAGGAAAGTTACAATTTAGGGTCTTTAGAAGCCAAGGTAGCTCGGCCAACCAGCAGTGAAGTTGACAGGTAAGTTTTGTTTTCCCATTTGAAGCTATTGTGTAAACTTTAAATGAGCCTTCTGTGTTACAGAGAGCATTTTTCTTACCTGATGTTCCTATTCAACTTACTTTGAGAGACTGGAAACATGCCAAAGGCTTGCGTTGTTTTTTTTCAAAGCAGGAAGCTCCTGGTTCTGAAGTATTCATGATATAAGAGCTATGGTAAAAATCAGATAGCATCTGCAGCCACTCTACAATCAGTTATTGCCAGGGCTTTCTCTGAATTCTAGGCAAGGCGCTGATTGTCAGAAGGTATCTGGTAATGTTGCCCTTTCTCATTATAACATCACACAGGTAGGTAACTTGGAAAGTTTTACTTTCCTTATATTATTTCTGTATATTATTTCTCTTTGCCCTTACCACCAAATTAGAGAAAGTCTGGTACCATCAGTAATTGTTCTTTTTCAAATTAGAGTAAATATAGTACAATTCTAAAGAACAGCGTTTTCAATGTCTTTGAAGTGTCACCTCACCTAGTGATGTTTCCCTTGAAGCTGCTATTACCCTAGGCCTCACCAGTGCTGCCATGGCCTGTGCCCTTCACTGTTTTTTCCCTAATGTACCAAATGTGTTGGATCATTTCCTTCTGATGGAAATAGCAATGTCTTTCATCTAGTCAATTGAAAGAAAATGGTACTAGTTTAGATTGGTAACATCATATGTTCTTTTTTTATTTTCACCTATTTATTTATTGAGAAAGGTTTCTATAGCCAAGGTTGTTCTAGAATCCAGGTCTCAGCCTCCTGAGTGCTGGGATTACTGGCATGAGCCACCATGTTTAGATTTTGTTGTTGTTGTTTTGTTTTTGAGACATGGTTTTTCTGTGTAGCTCTGGCTGTCCTGGAACTCACTCCTGTAGACTAGGCTGCCTATGCCTCTTGAACACTGTACTGTAATTAAAGGAGTGTACCACCACCACCCAGCTCATGTTTGGATTTTTTTTTTTTTTTTTTTTTTTTTTTTGATGCAAGGTCTTACTCCATAGTTTAAGATGGTAAGATGGTCTATGGCTTATTGTGTAGCCTAGGCTAGCTGCAAACTCATGCATTCTTCCTGCCTTAGGCACCCAGGCCCTAAATTAAAGGCTGGCTTGTTCTTTTCCCTGCTTGAAATAGATTGACATGGGTAAAGGCACTTAGAACCAAGCCTGACCATCTGAGTTCAGTCCCTGGGACCCACTTGGCAGAAGGAAAGAATGGAATCTAATAAGTTGTTAGTTATACACACATGCTAGCACACACATGCCTCATAAATACACAAATAAATAAATGTGAAATTGATCTTGGGAGCAATTAAAACCAACTAACTCGTTTCTTTGGTTGATAGCTGATCATGTAGACATTTAGTAGGATATTTTAACCACGAAAGTTGTCTTGATTTGAGTATCTCTCATCATGTGACCTTAATGGTCTAAATATGCTTGAGCACAGAATCTATATTCATCCCCAGTGTTGGTAACTGTTGTCCTCCTGCATTAGAACTATATAAGTACTACCTCCTTAAATGAAAAACAAAAAGCTTTAGTTTATATAAACTATGAGTGGATTACCATAAGAGAAGGAAGCCAAAACCCCAATATTTAACATACAAGAACCAAAATCTCCAGGCATCATGGAGCATGCCTAGAATCCTAGCACTTGGGAGGTTGAACCAGAAGGAGCCTAGCTTGTATAGTGAATGCCAGGCTATCCAAGGCTTCGTTAGCAAAATCATAGCTCATAAAAGCAAAACAAAACTACAGACTGGGTTTCATGTATGTTTTTACTCCCCTTTCAGTACTTATTAGAGTAGAAAATTTGTATGTAGCCTTCACCTTCTCTTATGGTCTATTTGCTTTGTCACTCTAAAAATATTTCTGTTTTATTTAGTCCTATTCCTCAGCTATAAGATAAAGGAGAAACAGCATTCAAGTTCTTTGGCACTACTTGTCTATTGGTCCCCTTTATGCTCCTTTTCCAACAGATTTAGCCCCTCCGGCAGTGTTGTTTCCATGACAGAAAGATACAGAGCCAGAAGTGAATCTCCTGGGAGAATGGATGAGCCTAAGCAACTTAGCTCCCAGGTATGTAGTTTGGGACTTAGGGTTGCTGTGTCCGTTGAAGAACTTGTCACTGAATAAACAGAATATAATGAATAAAAAAGATGTAGGACAAACAGTGGCCCTGTTAAATCCTGGATTTGATATATATTAGTTTTTTTTCTTAATCTTGCTTGTAAACATGCTAGAATTAGAATAACTATGGAGGTGGAATAATGGCTCAGCAGTTAGAAGTACTTACTGCTCTTGCTGAAAACCCTAGTTTGTTTCCCGGTGCACAACCGTTTGTAACTCCAGTTCCAAGGGATCCAGTGACTATAAATACCAGACACACATGTAGAACTTGTTCCTGATTATAAAGATACCAAAAAAAAAATTAACTCCTTCTTAACATTACACCTTTGGGTCACTTAGAACTTGGATTTAAAACAATTTGATTTGGGGTAGGTAGAGAATATATGTATGTATAGGTCTATATAATATGTATGTATAAGCAAATTGCTTATGCATTTTGTAATCTTTTGTTTGAAAGTACCTTTGTATTGATTTGCATCCTGAATCTTCCATCATAATACAAAGTTCTAAAGGCTAGAGGGAGTCCTGCACATCTCTAATCCCAACACTTGGGAAATAGAGGCAGGATTGCTGCAAATTTGAGGCCAGCCTGAGTTAATTAATGAGTTCCAGGCCAGTCTGGGTTGTAGAGAAAAACTCACCAGGCCTTGGTGGTTCACGCCTTTAATACTAGCACTCAGGAAGAAGGAGGGTCTCCATGAGTTTGAGGCCAGCCTATTTTACAGAGTGACAGCCACAGGACAGCCACATCAGTTACACAGAAAAACCCTGTCTCCAGAAACTTAAAAAAGAAACAAACAATTACAAAGACTCATGAGAATGATGTTTTCAGCCCGGTGGTGGTGCATGCCTTTAGTCCCAGCACTCAGGAGGCAGAGGCAGGCAGATCTCTGTGAGTTTGAGACCAACCTGGTCTACAAGAGCTAGTTTCAGGACAACCTCCAAAGCCGCAGAGAAACCCTGTTTCGAAAAACCAAAAAAAAAAAAAAAAAAAAAAAAAAAAAAAGAAAGAGAGAGAGCAAGGAAATGATGTTTTCTATATTCTTCCCAACTATCCTTAGCTAATGAATTAGTTGGTTGGCATTTTTTGTTTGTATTTCACAGATCTTAATTATTGAGAATCGATTTTCAAAGCTGTAAGCCACATAAAACACAATAGATTAGAGACTTTAGCTGGCAAAAAGGAAATAAAGTAGGTTAAGAGTGCCTAACTTGCCAGGCATAGTAATGCACAACTTTAATGGCAGTACTGGGGAGCAGAGGCAGGTGGCTGGATCTCTGTCATTTAGAAGCAAATTCTAGACCAGCCAGGGCTTTGGTTACATGGTAAGACCCTGTCTTTAAAAAAAAAAAAAAAAAAAAAAAAAAGAATAGCTTATTTTTTTTAACCTCTATTACAATTTCTTGTTATCTTAAAAAACCTCTGGACATTTGCTATGTATTTTAGTATATTAATAGCAGGTTTTTTGTTGGTGGTGTTTTGAGGTAATATCTCCATAGCCCAGGTTGACCTCAAACATGATCCTCTTGATTTTGCCTCCCTAGGGTTGTGATTACAGATATGTGCCAATATACCATACTGTTTTTTACTTTTGATTGAGTGTTGTTGGAGGTGTTCAGAGCTAAGAGGAAAAGTAGTTAGAATGCTTTTTTCTCCCAATCTCTCAAATCTTATATAATAACATTCAAAGGTAACTAGTTATACAAATAGATGCAGTGATTAGGGCAGATCTTAACAGGTTTATAGACTAATCATACAAACACACAAAAAAATATATAAGGTGTTCGAAGGCATTTACCAGACTTAGTGTCTAATGCAAGTACAGTTAAACAGGTCTGTGTATTTGTGTGCAGAGGGTGGTGCACACAGATATATGAAGGTTAGAAGTAAACCTCAGATGTTGCACCTTTTACCCTGATTTTCCTTCAGTGAGAGTCTCTCACTGGCCTCAGACTCAAAAGGCTCTGCTAGGCTGGCTGGCCAGGGATCCCTGTTTGTGTCTGCAAAAACTCGTGCAGTCACACCCAGCTTTTATACATGGGTTCTGAGGATTGAACTCAGTCCTAGTGTTTACATGGCATGTAAGTACTTTACTGACTGAACCATCTCCTTGGCTGTAGATTTTTTTTTTCTTGTAACTAAGCAGAAATTAAATGCAGTTTCTATCTTCCTTCCCTTTTCTTTCTCTTAAAAAAAAAGATTTATTTTTAATTATCTGTGTCTATATGTGGTTTTGTATACATGAGTACAAGTGCCTATGGAGGCCAGGAGAGGGCCTTGGTGTCTGCAGTGGTTTGAATGAACATCCCCAATAGGCTCATATAATTGAATGATTGGTTCCCAGTTGCAGAAGGATTAGGATGTGTGGCCTTGTTGGAAGAGGTGTATTACTGAGGGTGGGCTTTGAGCTTTCAAAAGCCCACACCAGTCCATCTGGCTCTCTGCCTCCTACCTGGGGGTTGGATCAGATGTGAACTCTCTGCTGCTACTCTAGCACATGCCTGCTACAATCCCAACCATGATGATCGTAGACTGACTACCCCTCCGAAATTGTGAGCAAGTCTCCAATTAAATGCTTTATTGTATACATTGCCTTGGCCATAGGGTAGGGTTTCATCACAGCAATAGTAACCCTAAGACAGCTCCAGGAGTTCAAGGGGTTGTGAATGCTGAGAACAGAATGCAGGTCCTCTAGAAGAGCAACAAATGCATTTAACTATTGAGCCATACCTCTAACTCCATCCTCTTCTATTTTGAGATACGAGACCTCTGTTGCCCAGACTATTCTTAAACTCTTTGGGTTAAAATCTGCCTGCCTTAGTCTCTCCAAGTAACTGGGGCTACTGTTTTGCACCACTCTGTCAGGATTTAAATGTTTTTCTGTTTTACCTCCGCCTCCCAAATATTGGAATTACAGTAGTACAATACCATGCCTGGCCTAAATGTAGTTTGTAATTGTTACTAGAATAGAGATCATATTGGAATTATATAAGGGTGTTTACCTTGCTTACGCGAAAGATAGTGTCTATAAAGAAATAGGATATAAAACTATCTAAGGCTGGTGCAGTGGTTCCTTAGGTAAGAACACCTACCAAGCCTGATACCCGGGACCACATGGTGAAAGGATAAGACTAATTGCTATGAGCTGTCCTCTGATATCTTACACACCACACATTCTCTCCCCCCACCCCCATCCCCCGCCACTATAAATAATGTATAATGTAATTTTAAGATTTTTTTTAGAAACTTTATTTCCACAGGATTGGGGGGGGGGGTGTCTGATGTCATGTTGAGAACTGAACTTGGGTCCCCTGGAAGAACAGCAAATACTATTACCACCAAGCCATCTATCTCTGTTGTAGAATATTATTTTAAGGTGTGCTACTTTTGTTTATGCTCTGGAACATCTTTTTAATGATGCAAAGATATGTTTGATTAAGTATAATTCACCTACGGTCTGGAGGCTGGGTCAGCAATTAACTGACAAGAAGTTGTAGGGAAGAGCAGGGTGGAGAAGGTTTTTAAGGAAGGGTGAGAACAAGCATGAGGAGTTCTTGGAGGATGAGAAGAGGTGAGGTAGGTGAGCTACTTGTTTTTCAACCTCTGTGGGAAGCAGGGTTATATACCTCAGCCTTTAAATCTTGAATTCTTTAGTGGGTCAGAGAGAGTCTGTGCCTGAGGGAACAAATTCACTTGCAGCCTGTCTGCTACTAGGAGCAGCATAGTAGCAGTTGCGGAATAGGATAGCTGTAGCTTAAAAGGCAAAAACAATTAAAAAAGAAAACAACACATCTCTCCCTAACAAATGTAATACTTACAAAAAAAAAAAAAAAGTACTATCTAGAAATGATTCAAAGAATAAAATAGATCTACACAATTTAATATATAAGAAAATATATTAGGGTAAGTCCACTTACCAGTTATTTTCCTATGCCACAGAAGGCCAAAGCAGGGCAAAGATTTATATTTTTAGTGCATGTATTTGCTTTTGTATGTGTGTGGTGGGTGTGCACATGTACATGCCACAAAGGATGTGGGTATTAGAGAATGGCTTGTAGGAGTTGGTTCTGTTCTTCTATCATGTGGACCAGCTTAGGTTGTCAGGCATGGAGACAGCAGGTACCTTTACCTGCTGAGATATCTTACTGGCCAATTTACATTGGTATGATGCACTGAAAATCCTGGAGAAACTGGGCAGTGATGGCACACACTTTTAATCCCAGCACTCAAGAGACTTAGGCAGATCTCTCAGAGTTCTAGGACAACCAGGGCTACAGAGAAACCCTGTCTCAAAATCAACCAATTATTCAAAACAAGAAAATGCTGGAGCAACCAGGCTTTGGAGACAGAGGCAGGTGGATCTCTGTGAGATGGAGGGAGGGCTCCCTGGCCTACAGAATGAGTTCCAAGACAGTCAGGACTACACAGAGAAACACTGTCTCAGAAGAAATAAAATAATACTGGAGCTGTAGAACACCTACTTTGAAGGCATGAAACTTAGGCTCAATACCCAGCATTAGCACTTCAAAAAGAGAGAGAGTGAGGGAGAGAGAACAAAAGATTTGCCTAACATGTATTAGGCCCTGGATTTGATCTGCAACCCTTAAAAAACATACAGGCAAAAAAACCAAACAAACAAAAACCCTGGGACCAGTAAGATGGGTCGTCACCTGGTAAAAGCCCATGATTGCCGATCCTGATGACCTGAGTTCCATCCCCAGCACCCACATGATAGGAGAAAACAGACTCCCTCAAGTTGTCTTTTGACTTGTATGCACATAGTTCATGAACAGACATACAAATAAGTAGATGCAATAAAAGATTTTTAACTCATTGATAGACTAGACTTTCTGACTATAATGGTGAATCTGGAACAGATTACCAAAGTTACTTCTTAAAAACATTTTCTTTTTTTCTGCCACTGGAAAGTTAAAAATACTTGACCTAA